TGACGAATTTGCTCCTGGACACTCATCCTTGATGGCATCAGACGTGTTGTACCCGGGAGCCTTCCTACAAAGTCCATGTCCGAGCTCCAAGGGATTTCCGACTGCCTAGCACACACATGTTGGTGACCATCACTGCCCTCTCTCCTCGGAAATCTCGCGAACTTCTCATGCTTGCAAGAGCACTTCATGGCATGTGCAGAATCAAGCCGGCCATTATACTTGTGAGCTGTGCGCACCTCATTGCGCAAGTTTGGTGCATGCATCCATTTGACCTGCAACTTGATTCGCCCGTTCTGGAAAAGTGCACTCTGGAACCACGAACATTGAAACAATGACACACAAAACTCTTGAATTGCAGTCATAGTTTTGCCAATGTTCCGTGTCTCAACACACCAAGGGATCTGGACAATCACCGCATACACAGGCAACTGCATTCCGAGCTGCGCAGCGCGTTTCTGCAAATGCTTGCGTGCTGCTTTCAAGCGGACCCCTGAGGCCCACCGTCCAATGGCTTTGAAAACCTCCGCCACCAAAGCTCGACTGCGGATTACATACAACAACCTCAGTCCATGTTTGGCCGTCTTACGACGGGCATCAAATGAGATTGCTGCCAAGATTTTGTCAAAGGTCGACTGTCGCCTGCGCATTTCTGGAAACTGTACCCCCAAAGCCCGTGTCTTGTTCCGCGTAGTTTTGGCAAACCGCTTGCATGGTTTGGCCAGTGCTGCTAACTGTACCGTTGTCTGGGCCCGCTCCCTAGTTCGCAATCCGAACCTCGAAGGATTGAGTACCCGGAGTACGTTCAAAGCAACATGATTGTAAGCCCTTGGTGTATTCAGTTTTGAAAGCCCAACCATGGATGAAAGCACGTTCCCACACGATTGCATCCCTCGCGTCGCCATCAACTTGCACAATGGGCAACATGAGATACATAGATGACGGGTGCCCTCACTGCGGTGCTAAGTCCCTGATCACGTGGTAAGACGGTATCTGGCCAGTAGCTGTAGGATTGTCTACCCGATGGAAGTGATCCGTGTGGCGCCTCCGAATATTGACAGATCTCCCAGCATACACTTTGTCAGTTTACGGGCTCCACAAGATGTACAGCACATTCTCAGACTCCCACAACCGTAAAACATCAGGCCACGCACTGTTCCGAAACTTCTGCAAGTACGACACGAGTGAGGTATCGTGGTCAAAAGTAGATAAGGACAGGAACTCAATGGCAACGGGTGTCGCCAGCATTCGAACGGCTAGAAGTGTCTCAAAATCTCGGCCCGTGGACCTCAAAGCAGTGGCATCGCCCACTGATCCCAAAATTGCACACAAGATTGCTAGCATTGCCCTCAAAACTGCCCGCCACTTGAAACGATACTTGGCAGGCAAGGCGTTCGCCCTGCGCAAATGCGCTGTGATGCCACTCGGCACCACCGCATCATCCTCTAGCCAAGAGTCCTGACAGCACTTAACGGCGAGTGCCCTTGCTACCCACCGTTTCAACTCGGGCACCTGTGGCTTGCTGCAACGGATACCCAGCCCTTCCGTGGCTAGGTTGAACTGCACATAGATCTCGCCAGACATTGACTTGCTAACTCCCATCTTTTCCAAGGCAACCTCGAACTGGGCCGTAGCTGACTTCAGGAGGGAGTTCACATCGAAGGGCAACTGTTTTCCAGCGTGGGCTACACTTACCAGTGTGGTGGCCTGCGGGAACAACGTCTGCAATCATGGTGCATCTTTGCAGAAGCCAGCGAAGTCATACGACGAAATCTTGAACGATTCTCGCACTGAAGGCTCTGCTTGTAGGGGAGTCTGGGGTGAAGACGCATCAGAGCTCGAGGGAGGTTGTTGTTGGGCCAACTGCGTGTCCGGTGGGGGCTGGTCCAACTTCTTGCGCTTGAACTCTTCGGGGAGGTGCGTCTTGAACCACTTTGTGAAATTCTGAAGCTCGCTCTTCGGGACATTGAGGTTCACAAGCCTTACGCATTCGAAGAACACATCACGCTCATTTGAAGTCGCCGGGATGGGTTTCACACCCTCTCGCTGCCAAAACTGGACCGCGTTCGGGGCTTGGAGGCTGATAATGCGTGCTACCATGACCTTGTTTAGAGCTATCCACTTTGCCACTCGCTCCTGGGAGTTCGCCGGCATGCGGGCTCTGTCTTCCGGGTTCAGGCCCGGTGGTGGGCGCAAGACGGCAGTCATGAGATCTGGTAGCCCAGTGATGCCCTTTGCCAAGCCGTCTGCCTGGACCAATCCTTCCGACACGGCATGCTGTATCATGAAACTGACCAATTCGGTTGTGATTTCACGTGAGGTCATCGTTTTTGCAAGAGAGGTCACCAGGGCTTCTCCGAATACCTGCGCATCATTGCAGTCCAAGGCTGCCGTAGACACAACGGTGTTTACCAGCTCGCACACAAGACCATCAACGTCACAGGATTTGGTCTCCTCATTTTTCAAGCGTGCAGCACGTTCTTGCTCCACTGTTTCGGCCCTTACCTTTGACACAACCGCCTTTGGCACGACCTCCATTATCCTCAGGAGGGCCGCGAAATCGTCAGGACACAGTTTGGTGATCAGGCTGCCCAGTTGTAGAACATTCGCTCGGATAGTTTCGCCCAACCTTGGGCATTTGCTCTCATGACTCTCTGCGTCCTCCTGAAGCGGTCGTTTTCCTGTTGTCATGTTCGGTTCCGGGTTTGTCATACCAAACTGCGATCCCACTACAGGGTGTTGTGGGCTGAAGTTCATGTGTGGCAGAGCAGTCCTTTGTGGACTCCACTGGGGGGCTCTCCAAAGAGTCGCGCCGTGGTTCTGGGCACTTGGAAAAGCCGGCCACCCAGTACCACTCGATGGGTTCGTCATGTGCGGGAACATGTGTGGCATTAGCCCGAATGACTGGTTGCCTCGGGGCCACTGATGCGGGTTCATTGCTGCCCTGACTACACGCAGACGTTGCTGCTGGAGAAAACCTCCTCTTCGAAATTTGGTTTTTGGGCCGGGGCTAACGCAAGCAATTCTGATAAGTGCTGCACAGAACACGTTCAATTGCATTGCAGGCTCACAACTGCGACAACCTCTTTCCGATGCCCGGTGGCTGATATCTGTGCCAGCACGCGGCGAATCTGACACCAGGTGGTATTTGTTAAGCCAGTTTTGGCAGGGACGTTGTTTCAGACACGGCAGCAGTGCGAGCACTGGATCACGTGCCCACCACATCCGATAAACGAACAAGTATTTGTGAGTTTCGGGGCCGGTGGCGAAGATTCGATGCCCGTGGCGATTTTTGCAGGCATGTTTACAGCTTCCCACTAGGCCCTCTTCGTTGGGCGCTCAGCCCAGCGAGAAGGAGCGCCCCCCTGCCGAAAACCTTGTGAGACTTCAAAAACTTTCCCCTTTTCACTCCCGGTGGTGAGGTTTTGGATGCCAATGGCGAATTTGTTGCTGGACAGAGCCCTACGCCGATTTGCCACTAGCCAATCTCCAGGCAAGTCTCCTGTTCGTGCCAGCTGATTCTGGTGAGCGCCTGACTGGTTTCATGACGCATGCATGGTATGACCCTAACTCTCTTCCTCCACGAGGCGAGTGGCATCACTTCGTTTGTGGTCACCACCTAAGAATTCCACGAAGATGCTACGGACGCGATCAAGCAAGCCTGTCGACTTACGAAGTCTCCACCGTTCCAGCCCTCCAGGTGGCGAGAAGTTGTATGCCAGTGGCGGAATTTGTATTTCAGAGAAACGAGGTTCCCCGCCGACTTTTTGCAAGTCCTTCCCTACTCAGCTCCGCTGCTCGCATCAGCAGATTCATTTCAGAGCATGACTGGCATCAGGAAGCAAAAGAGACATGTCTGTCCCAAACACTCATTCAGAGCACTTGCAAACTCAGATCTCCTGCTTGCACTCATAGAGCTCCCCAAGCTATCCCAACAGGAACCCATGAGGGAGCGAGCAGGTACGTTTACACCTCTGCAGTGTCTGGTCTTCGTTGGTCAGGACAGACACATACAGATTCCGACCCCCTGCTGTCACAACTCCAAGCTGCATGAGGCGCTTTGGAACAGGGATCACACACACACACACACCAGCATCCACACGCGATTCTGGTCCTTCTTTTTCCACCGGCGCTGCGGCGACCTGCTGGCCTGCAAACCCCATGCACAGGACAGCTGAAAAGGTGGAGACAACGCCAATAAACATCAGTAGCTACGGCAATGCTGATGTCGGTCTGGCCGAGACACTGGAGACGCGAGAGGCCCACGAAGAGAGACACGAACGTGAGGATGGGGTCCGGGTGCTTCTGCCTGCGATACACTCTGATACTGTCGTGGGACCACTTTGAGGATCAAACTTCTGAAGCAAAATGTCTGTCGGTTGCCCTGCGAGCAAGCCATGTAGAAAGACCTCCACAGCTGCGAGCAGCACCGCTTCGGCCGCTTCGCGAGCTTTTGGTAGAACCTGACGTCACGCCGGCCGCATCAGTCAGATCGTCTTCGGTTCATGCGCTGGTGATATAGAGATTACCGGCACTGCACTAACATCAGTAGCGGTCAGCACCCACTCCAGTTTCGAGAATTGGAAGTCATCATCGTCGGAGCAGTGCAGTAGGTGCGGGGTGTTGTGTGCTTTGCAGCAGCGTCACTCGGGGTGCCGATAACCAGCCGAGTCAACTCAAGTCAAAAGATGCCTGGCCTCCGGCTTGCCATGTCAGTCGCAACCATATGACAGATGGCTCAGTGTTTCCCGTGTACCTACAGTGCGCCTGTCATAGAGGAATAAGGAAGGTACAGGAAGGCACCGAGCATACATGTTTGGCAGAGCGGGGACAGCTCTGCACTCGGACAATTTGCAGTTGTTCTTGTTTGGCTGTTTCAACTCCAAATCAACACCCTGAAGAGAGCAGGCCACACCGGCGCATTGGTTGAGCGAAAGGATGTTCCTGTGGCTGTTGCAAGTCATTTACACTGATGGTCGTTTATGTCATCTAGTTGACATAAGCTAGCACGAAGGCGCCACAAACAGTGAGTGAAACAATTGAACAATACGTTTGAAGACCTGCAGATGGTCAGCACCTCGGCTTGGCAGCTTCCTGCTTCGGTCGGTGTTCGTCCGCACGCATGCTGGCACCTGCCCCGACCACGGTCTCTGTGGCAATGATCAAGCACGTCACTAAGAGACACGACTTCTGGGCATAACATGTCCGACACGAACTTGACCGGCGGGGAGTCCACGACTCTCGGGCAAATGGCCGCACCAGCGTCCCTGAGGCTGCCTGGTTGGGCACCAGCTGCTGGAAGCCCTCCATGGCCGAGCTGGTAGTGCCTCCGTCCGACGGAACAGCGAACAGCTTCATGCTTTAAGGCTTTTTGCCGAAGCGAGACCAAGTCGACCAAAAACGGCGGAAGGCAGCCTCTCCAGGTCTGCGGGCTGTAACCCTCTTGGAAGGTGCTCCACATATCCTCAGAGTTGTTCCAGGAATTGGGGAAGCCACGAGCAAAGTACCTGCAGCAGGCTCAAAGCCAAAGGAAAACCCATCACTGACTTCTTCCACTTCGCTCACATGCCGCGAACCATCTAGACATGCACTCTTGACGAGCTGGATATGCGGCACAACAGAACAAGCCGCAAGAATAACTCCACAGATCCGATCACTACCGATCTGCAAGGATCTGCACGACAGGAAATCTCTTGCTTGGAACACGAACTGTTGTGGTCCTAGGCACAGAAGGGTTTATGTCAGAAGCCATGCATATGCATCCTGCTCCAGCCCTTCTGCAAAACATCATGAATACTTACACTGCAAAGTGCCGTCTGGACCGGCCTTGATTGCGTTGCTTTTCGAGTTAGGGCGCGTAGAAAGTCTCGGTTGCCGTGTGTCGTCCACCGAGCGTAGCCTCGACACGGTCCAGCTCGTCTCCACTAGTTGCAGGTACAGCATGCTAGCTGCTAACGTGTTGCAACATATCAACGAACATCAACGAGCTACATTGCAGATCCCTGATGAAAGCTGCTTCAGACAGTGCTTGACCTTTGTGGTTGTCCCAGCTGCGATCATCCAGGTATGCCCGCTCTGTGTACCAACTGAGAGCGGCGTTGTTGGCCTTGCAGAAAACTGGCCGAACAGCTCACAGGCACGTCATCACATCGCAGACTCACGCTAACTGCTCAAGTCACACAGGTGTTTACATGCATGGGCGGTGAATAGTAGAAGACAAAGAAATCAAGCATGATTCCGGTTTCCGCTACAGTATTTTGAGCCCGACGAGAGCGGCAGAAACACCGAGATCCTGAAGCAGGCGATGCAACCGAGCCAGACCCGATGGGGCTGGACAGGTCGGAAAAGCCGTGTTGGAACATCGAAAACAAAGGCTATTCGGTATTTTCTACCCCCTGCGCACCATGGAATGGACTGCGACTTCTGGGTCGCTTTGTCCTTGTCCGTCGCAAACGGGGTTGGCATCGTTGGTCGAGAGGGCGGCCGTCGTAGGCCGCCGATTGAGCTTGTCGTTGGCGCTCCTCGTGGAATTCGTTGACTTTGGGATACACTTCCTGGCCCAGGAAGGTTCATGCTGCCTCGCAGCAGTCGACTCTCTGTCATGGCCCACACGGGCGCAAAGCAAAAACGACCAAACCGACGCACCCGAAGCAGAAACCCGTCCCGGTGGTACCGTGAGCTGTGAGGCCAAGGCGTGAACACATGCGCGAACACGTGCGAACCTGCACACCCTTGGGCCTATGGCAACAGATCTAAGTGAGCACGCACGCGCCCATGTACTGCGAAGTACAGCTCAGAGAAACAGATACAGCGAATGACACAGGCAGACATCCGGCACGCTGCTGCCAAGCGTCCAGCACGGGACTGCCCACGTGTTTCACCTTCTCGTTCACAGTCAAACCACGCTCACCACCTGATACAGCACACGAAGTAGCCTTGGAGGAACTCTCCCAACAAGAGAACAAATCACGCACCGAGCACCTGGTGTCAGGATGGCCGGAGGTGCTTCGTCTGTTGCAGCCATGGCGAATTGCAACTTGCAGTGCGCGTAGTAGACAGTGTTGCTTATCCTTATCTCTCATTACAAATGGCATATGCTTGTGGAAGCTCACAAATTCAGCGGACACTGCTTTTGTTGGAGCAGTCCGTCGTGCACTGAGTCCTTGTTGCCTCATCTGTCAAGATTCTGCGATGACACTCTCAGAATGGTGAGGTAACCAAGCTGACACGCTTCTCGCGGCACTGCAAAACGCCGGTTTGCATAGGTTGGTCTCACGTCAAACAATCAGTACATCCACCATGCAAAAGAAGTTATTTCACCGCACTTCTTTACGGCCTCTGCTGTTTACATGGTTAGTAACTTGTAAGCACAGCACCCCTCTGCAGTGACATCTGGGGTATTGAGACCAGATGAGACCAGAATAGACCAAAGATTAGCATGGGCATTTGCAACTTGAAATGCAGACTGGTACTGGTGGTAAATTGCAGTGAGCACTGAATCTCCCAATACACGACGACGAATAGTGACCAAAGAACTACCCAGGCGTCATGACACACAGACTCTTCTGCAAGAGGAGTTTGCCCAACTGCAACGATCCCCTGGCTCTCGGCTGACTTCGTCTCGGCGCGCATGCAGATTTTCACAAGCAGAAACCAACAGAGACGGCATAGCTGTCTGAACTCACGAGAACCTGCCATCGATTCGCATCTTGCGACCTCGAAGCAAGCTTGCTCTTCACTGAAGCAGAATGTTGAGACGCCGCTCTTCGGCAGTCAAATCTCTTGTTTGCCAGATTTCTGCAACGGAATTCGTTATTCCGCCTCCTCTGCTGGTGCGCCCGCTCAGCGACAGGACAAGTCCACTGTCGCGGTGGCCCTCTTAATCTCCATGCTTTAGCTTCTGCAATGAAATAAGCGCATGTGTTAGAAGTCGGGATCTGCATTTCCGTGCCATGATTCTGCGATTGCATTACATAAACAGTACGGTGGGCGCAGTTTTGGGTGTTTAGGATGCCCACAGTGCGAACTGGAACGAAATCCTGCAGCACTAACCTGTGGCAGTCTCTACATCTTTGCCTCCTAGACACGAACCGAAACAAGCAACGGACACCCTGAAATAATCTGAAGTACATCTGCTCGGCTTCTCGCGAACAACACCTCAGGTCTGAAATTACCAGGCCATGATTCACGACGACTTCGACTCAACAGCCGGCCGCATCCTTGAAAAGTTGGAACACCTCCAACACTTTGACAATTTCAACATGCCCCTTCTGATGAGCACGAGCAATTGCTGTAGCTCCATCTGTCGTTCGAGACTTCTTGGCATCCGCATTGGCAGCGAGTAGTAATCGCACAACTTGTTTGTGACCATTCTGGGAAGCGAAGAGCAAAGGCGTTGCGCCGTCCAGACGAGCAGCATTCACCCTTGCACCTGCCTGTAGCAATTGTCGGGCTGCATCTATGTGGCCACCTTCGCAAGCAACGGTAAGGGGCACAGCACCATCTCGCGTTCGGGCCTTGTTCAAGTCCGCACCAGCCTCGATGCAAAGCTGCAAAACTTCAACAAAGCCATGATATGAAGCCACAAAGCTTGGCGTTGCCCCATCCGACCGACGAGCGTCATCAATGTCAGCATGGTTCTCAAGTAACAGTGTCACTTGGTTGGGAAGGTCGAGCTCGGCTGCAATGTAGAGCGGAGTCGCTGCTGGTTCCGAAGCTTCTTTATTGACCTCTGCACGATGCAGAATCACCAAGCGCGTGACGTCACACACATCAGCACAAACTGCAGCAGTCAAAACGGTGGTGCCATCCGGCGAGCGCTTGGCGCATGCGTCTGCGGCTGCTTCCAGCAACAAACGCACTACTTCAACATGCCCGTAGCTAGCAGCCACGAACAGAGGGGTTGCACCGTCTCCAGCCCGACGCGAATCAGTGTGAGCTCTTGCTGCCAGGAGGCTGCGCAGTACGCCTACCCGACTGCTCCGTGCAGCCACAAAAAGGGGAGTGTATCCATCTGCGCGTTGAGCACTTGTGTTCGCACGAGCCTCTAGCAGGAGGTGGAGCAAGTCAAGGTTGCCAGCAAGGACTGCGCAATGCAAGGCAGAGACACCGTCAGAGCGTCGCTCATCCTTATCAGCTCCATTTCGCAGCAAGAAGCGTGCGACAGCAAGGTGACCCTTCAGAGTGGAGACGATGAGTGGTGTGGCTCCGTCCGAACTCCGCGGCTTGCAGACGTCGGCCCTGTTTTCAACCAGAATGCGAACCACTGGCAAATGACCGCAGCTAGCAGCCACAAATAGCGGAGGCTCGTCGACAGGACAAATGGCACAATCGACGGGTTTGTTCGGGTCAGCCCATGCTTGGAGCAGCATTTTTAGGATCTTCACGTTGCCCTGGCTCGCGGCAACATCCATCGCTCTGGCACCCAACTCTGACACTTTGTGTCCTGCCCTAGCTGCAGCGGCAAGAAGCACTTTCACAACTGGAACATGGTTCAAGGATGCAGCCAAAGAGATCGGAGTGTAGCCGTCGCAGGACCGCACAGCAGCGACATCTGCCTTTGCGAAGGTGAGGATTCTTACCACCTCCACAAAGCCGTGATATGCAGCGACGCAAACGGGTGTGGAGCCGTCTTCCTGAAAGGCTTTGTTGGGATCGGCCCTGGATTCCAAGAGAACACGGACCAGCGCTTTGTGGCCCCTCCGCGCAGCCTCCAGCAGTGGCGTTCGGCCATCAGTGCTGTTGGCTCCGTTGAGCCCGGCCTTTGCCTCCAAGAGCCATTGGACTACGTCCTCTCTGCCGGTGTAGGCGGCCCCAATCAAAGGCGTCACACCTTTGGGATTCTCAGCTTCAACATTTGCGCGTGCCTCAAGCAAGAGTCGAAGAATCTCGATTTGCTCCAGCCTTGCTGCTACGGCTAGTGGAGCTCTCTCAGGATCTTGCAGGTCTGCCCTGGCCTGGATCAACATTTTGACGACCTTTGGATTTCCAAGACGAGTGGCATCTTCCATGGCAGTTGCACCAAACTCGGCCAATTCTTTACCTGCCCTGGCCGCAGACGCAAGTAGCATTTTCACAATGGGCAAATGGTTCAAAGAGGAAGCCAGAGAGAGCGGTGTGGATCCGTCAGAGGTCCGCGCTATCGTCACATCTGCCCCGGCCTTCATGAGCAGTCGAACTACCTCTGCGAATCCATGGTATGCAGCCACGCAAACTGGCGTGGAACCATCCTGTGTAAAGGCTTTGTCGGGATCAGCTTTGGCTTCAAGCAGAATCCGAACCAGTGCTTGATTGCCCCGACTGGCAGCTTCCAAAAGAGGCGTCCGGCCATCCCTGCCGTCTGCCTTGTCCAAGTCAGCCCTCAGCTGCAGCAGCTCGTGGACTGCTTCTGTCCGGCCGAAATTGACAGCTACAAGCAGTGGTGTCGCAGACATCTCGTTCCCTGCATCGATCGCAGCTCGTGCTTCGATGAGGAAGTGCAACATGTCGACGTGGTTCATCTGAGCAGCCACATGCAGCGGCGAGCGGCCATCCCCGGGATTGGTGCTATTGCTGTCGGCATCGGCTTCGATCAGTAGACCTGGATTTGCTGTCCGGGAACAGTCGAAGGAGGCCAAAAAGGGGGCCGGCTAGGACTAGGATCTCAAACGGACAGAAACGAAACGACGCGTCGAATCTAACACCAACTCTGCCAGTTTCAGGCGCTCGCGCAGCGGAGGCTGTTGCTCGCGGCAGCGTGCCACAAAGCCGTCTCGCCGTGCTGCAGCGTTAAATCCTGCCAAGAAAATTCCGTCAAGTGAGCAATGCTGCGCAATGGTTTTCTCTTTTCGTGCCGAGGCTCCGGATCCAATGGCCGTTGCAAAAACTGCTCCAATGCAAGATTCTGATCTCCAGTCACAGCATCCAACAGTTGATGACGTTCCCCATCGTCGGCTGGGCAAAATGTTAAAACGACGAGGACCAAACTCGCGGGTAGCTCTATCATAGCGTCATCTTGCAAAACAGCTCCCCTCTCACAAAGCAGCTTCTGGCGAAATCTAGGTTGGCAGATGATGCCTGACAAGTGCTGCTTCAATGACTTCACTGAATTGCCCAAGGTCTCCATTATTTGATTGAACTCCTCCTCGGAAAGCGCCGCAATGGTCGCACCACTGAACATCGTCACCGTGAGAACATTCATGTTTTGTCAAGCAGCTGAGGTACGTCCAGCAACAAGGCGCCGGGGAGATAAAGCAGAGAAGAATGGCCCTTTAGCCAACACATGCCTAGGCACGGCCAGAAACCAACCTTTACTGCACGGGTGACACAAGACCTACTCGCGGGACCATCATGCCACGGTGTGAACCTCGGGTGGTGCCAATGCTAGTAAGTGGTAAACAAGCCATATTTCACGCTTGAGCCTTCAGGCTGCACTGCAGCATCTTAACGACTGAAGTCCGGAGGAGCAAGCAACATGCTGAGCAGATATGTTGGGAAAACACGGTAGACATCCGGTAAAAGTCAGGGGACCTTTGGATGAGCTGCCGGATCGAATGAAACTCCTAAAAACTCTCAAGTGGACGACACTGGATTTGAGGAATCGAAACCGATTCACAACCTGATTGAAGGTTCGAACTCTACACAGCTGAAGCTCAGGACGAACAGCACCACCAGGACTAGGATCACGACGATCTCGACGACCACGACACCCAGAACCATCTGGACAACAAGGACCAGGACGACAAGATGACAAGGACCCCCCTGATGACCATGCTCACGGCAACCTGCAGGCATATATGAAGCTGCAGGCAGGACGGAAGGCAGCACACTCAAAATCGCTCCCCCCCAAGAGCCTCGCGGCATGGCCCTGCTGGGACTTTGCGCGCTTACTGCGTTTGAGCACGTCACCTCCACAATCGTTCCGAGGCCCCCCACCCCGCAACAGAAGAGCCCGAGGGGCCACGTAATGCGATACTGCCAGCACTTTGGAATTCCCGAAGCTGTGACGGAGCAAGAGTCGCACCCCAAAGTCGACATTCTTGAGGT